AAAGTTCTCCAAGCCAGGCTTCAGCAATATGTGATTCGTGAACTTCCAGATGTTCAAGCTAGTTTTAGAAAAGGCAGAGGAACCAGAGATCAAATTGTCAACATCTGCTGGATCATCAAAAAAGCAAAAGAGTTCCAGGAAAACATCTATTTCTGCTTTATTGACTATATCAAAGCCTTTGACTGTGTGGGTCACAATAAACTGTGGAAAATTCTGAAAGACATGGGAATACCAGACCACCTGATCTGCCTCTTGAGAAACCTATATGCAGGTCAGGAAGCAACAGTTAGAACTGGACGTGGAACAACAGACTGGTTCCAAATAGGAAAAGCAGTAGATAAAGGCTGTATGTTGTTACCCTGCTTATTTAACTTATATGCAGAGTACATCTTGAGAAATGCTGGGCTGAAGGAAGCATAAGCTGGAATCAAGATTGCTGGGAGAAATATCAATAACCTCAGATATGCAGATGACACCACCCTTATGGCAGAAAGTGAAGAAAACTAAAGAGCCTCTTGATGAAAGTGTAAGAGGAGAGTGAGAAAGTTGGCTTAAAGCACAACATTCAGAAAACTAAGATCATGGCATCTGGTCCCATCACTTCAATGCAAGCAGACTGGGGAACAGTGGAGACAGTGGCTGACTTTATTTTGGGGGTCTCCAAAATCACTGCAGATAGTGATTGCAGCCATGAAATTAAAAGGCGCTTACTCCTTGGAAGGAAAGTTATGACCAACCTAGATAACATATTAAAAAGCAGAGACATTACTTTTTCAACAAAGTTCCGTCTAGTCAAGGCTATGGTTTTTCCAGTAGTCATATGTGGATGTGAGAGTTGGACTATAAAGAAAGCTGAGCACTGAAGAATTCATACTTTTGAACTATGGTGTTGGAGAAGACTCGAGAGTCCCTTGGACAGCAAGGAGATCCAACCAGTCCATCCTAAAGAAAATCAGTCCTGGTGTGCATTGGAAGGACTGATGTTGAAGCTGTTACTCCAGTACTTTGGCCACCCGATATGAAGAGCTGACTCATTTGAAAAGACCCTGATGCTGGGAAAGATTGTGGGCAGGAGGAGAAGGGGATGACAGAGGATGAGATGGTTGGATGGTATCACCAACTCAATGGAAATGGGTTTGGGCGGACTCTGGGAGTTGGTGATGGACAGGGAGGCCTGGCGTGCTGCGGTCCATGGGGTCGCAAAGAGTCGGACACGACTGAGTGATTGAACCGAATTGAAAATAATACAGAAACAGAGACACCATATAAAGAGTCAATGTAAGTTCAAAATTAAAGGTTTAGTGTGTAAATTTCAAAGCTATTACATAAGCCACTTTACATATAAAACTGGCTTTTGGAATATCATTTTATAGTTTAGCAGTCATACTATATCAACTGCAATTCCTGGCAGAATATGAATCAATTCTGAATTCCTAAATCTATCATAGACCCTCTAAATGGAAGCTATTCAACTTGTTATCAATGGTGAAGTCAAGACAGTGCATTTGGTTATTAAATTCCCTTTGGAAATGAGCAGAAGTCAGGTTAATGTCTTTTATTCAATCTTAAATTTCCACAAATTATAATCTAGACCAAACTATCACATTGTGCAACTACTTCAAAACCTTTATATTTTATTTTATTGTAGATATCAAAGTCTGGATTTTGAATAGGTGAGTGCCTTGTGTTTATCTAGAATAAATATGTTAATTGAAAATAGTCAAGTTTATCTCCTGAAAGGGAGCAAAAAAGTTCTGTTTCTTCACCTTTAGAGATTGAACCAGATGATACTCAAGGACTCAATAAATCTGGAGCTATAATGTCCTTGAGAAACCATCTGCTTCAGTATTTTAATTCTGTTTTTTATAGTAGAGTAATTCAATGATAGTCTTAACTGCTTCAAGCTTAAATGATTTTAGGAGAAATAGTTTATGTGGTGGGTATAATTCATGTTTCTGAAGAGTAATGTCCTTATAAAAACTTCCCAACTGATGGTGATTTATTGCAGTATTAAAAACATAATTTTTTAAAATTTGAAATATTGAGTTGGCCAAAAAGTTCATTTGAGGTTTTTCATAAGATGTTATACAAAAACCCAAAAGAAAAAGAAAAAGAAATCTTTGGCTTACCTGATACAGACTTCTTAGTGATTAATGTCAAGCTTTAATTCCCTATCAAAATGTTATTATCTCTCTATATTAACCTGGGTCAAATGTGAGTTGTGTCTGATGATCTGTTTAGGTAGTGATTAAAATAGGACAAACAAATGAGATAGTTGTCAGATCAGTCATGGAGAAATACTTTCTGAGTGGGAGCTGCTCTGTGGTAAGAGAGACAGTTAAGTCTGCACACCAGATCCCAGACTGTCAGAAGCAGCATTCCACACACTCTCTGATTCGGAAGTCACAAAGAGTTTCAGGCAGAGGTAATCTGATGCTTGGGGCAATTCAGCAGGTAGTGAAACTCTTTGATGAATCTGTACTGTCAACTGTCTGTTTGCTTTCAAACTTATCCCCTGCATTCTTCTTGCTCTTTCCCTTGGTTTCTGAGTACTTTGGTCAGTGGCAAACTGTTGGAAGACTGGGTGACCTAAGGAAAACAGAGAAGTACATCTCTTCACCAAAACTATGGTATATACTCCATGGTTTCAGATGAGACCAGGCATGTTCAGGGTGGTATGGCCATAGATCCTCCATGGTTTCGGATCCCAATGGAGAGATTGTTTTGATTCTAGCTTTCAAGTGATGCAGAGGCACATTGCTTGTTACCTTTAATCTAGGAACTATAGCCCCAGATATACTATGCCAATTTGTCCTTACTTTGAAATAACACTGATTTTTTTATGGGACCAATTTTACTTTAGGTTGTGTGTTAGGCAAAAAGAGATGATTTGTTCCCTGTAATCAGAAATTTCTGTCTGTCCTGGAATAAGGAGCTTTAGAGCACTGCTATTAAGACATAATAAATAACATTTGTAAAGAAGTATACACAAGGATATCTATAGTATATGTATATATTATTATTTTCAACTTATTGTGGGCTAATATATTTTGTGCACAAAATGCTAAAGTGAAATAGTTGTATAAATCATACCATGATACTTACTTACACATCTACTATGAGGCATCTGTGGGTAATTTTTTGAGAATAATATTCAAGAATAGCAATTTCTTCTGTTTTCTCTGTTTCTCAAATCAGGCTAACTGCTTGTGGGGTATTTCATTTGTTTCTGAGGATGGGTGATGATTTTAGGTCATGGAATTAGAAGCAATGGCAATGGATAACTATGTTATATTCTTGGCTATGGACTGATGAGAATCCACCACTTATTGGAAAAGCTTTCACAATATTGGACTCAATTACAGCATATCTCTCCTAGGTTGTTACAAAATTCCTCTTACATTAACCATTTTTGGAGAAAAAAGACCCCAACATTTTCAGAAAATTAAGCACACATTCTCACCAAGTACATTTTAATTTTGTTTTAAGAAGACAGTAATAATGCTCTATGATCTCTAAATGGGGTGAGGCAAAACATAAATTAGACTACATGATTTTTAGTCAAGTTTTTTACAAAATCCTAGGAGTTTCTTTTAAACCAGTGTCTATACACCTACTTAAAGATTAAGTAAAACAATTTTAATGTGATTTCAGTTCTTAGATTTTGACACAAAATGTCACCTTTCTAAAGTGTTTATCATAAGTTCTTCCTGTAATATTTTCAATGCTTCTCTTATATTTTCAAGAATTTCTCTTTTACATGAGACATTATATCTAGATATTCTAATCTTTATTTAAATAGGTAGGAGGTTATAAAATTTTGTTTATCAATTTAAGATTTTTTTCACTTTTTCCCTCAAGTTGTTTTATTTATTTTCTAGTCTGTTCACCTGGGGTTCATGTACCATCAAACCCGTTCTTGCTTTTTGTACAAACCATTTGCTTTCATTGCTACTGAATTCCTCTAAGTTCTATTTTCTGCCAATATTGTACATTCAGCATGTCCTCTTCATCTGCATTTGCTATACCATGTCTTGCTATATTGATTCCTGGCCTTCCACCAAATTATCTGACGTTTTGGTTTACTAATAATATCAAGCAGTTTAGGTCTACAACTAAAAAGACTACTAGCTTCCCCTTATTGCCAGGAATTCCAGAAGGAGCTGATAACTATCATCAGGCTGAAACCATTTTTATGCTTTGTCATAAGGAAATGAGTGATCCTTTCATTACTCTAGTTGTATTTTTTTTCTTCTACTTTTGAAAGTGGTTGGTCCCATTGACAGACCAGCCCATCTGTCTGGTTTAAACCTGTAAATGTATGATCTTACCTGACTTTAGCAGTATTCCTTCATTTGCAAACATATCTAACTCATCTAGAACTGCTGGTTTAGTTCACACACATAAAAATATTATTACTAAGCCAAATCATCTGGGTTCACTTTCCAAAGCTTCAGGTTAGAATTTGCTATACCTGAATCCCTGTACTTTAAACTGTCATATGTTATATGACATATGTTATGTCATTGAGAACTTTGGTCAGGGAATGACCTCTTTTCTTAACTTCTCTTTGTTTCATACAGTGAGTAAAGTTTTTGCTCATCAGGACTTTATTTGTGAAGTTGAATACTCATGAACACATGATATATAAGCAATAATTTTTTTAATGGATATGGTTAATAAATTTTCATAAATTAAATTGTTGAATAGTGGTTGTTTATACTATGTAAAACTAGTTTTGTAATATGAAGAGTAGTCTTGGCACTTTCCTTTAACAGATATATCTACTTTCGTATTTACTGGAGAAAGGTCTCAGTATAGTGCACACTTGGAGACTGGCTAAGCATTTTCCTGGAATTGAAATATATGAATTTTATGTTATTTATTCAGATTACTGTTTCACATAAACATGCCTAATAAGACTAATCTACAAACAATAAATATGAAAGTTTCAGACTAACTATTATATATGACTTACTATGTTTTCTTGATCTTTTCAGAGTATTATGGCCCCTCCTGGTGTCTGACCGCAGCAGACAGGGGACCGTGTCAAGCCAACGTGACCAGATTCTACTACAATTCAGTCATTGGGAAATGCCGCCCATTTAACTACAGTGGATGTGGAGGGAATGAGAACAATTTTACCACTAAAAAAGCATGTCTTAGGGCTTGTAAAAAAGGTATAGAGGGCATTCTCCCATTAATTCACTACTGTTTAAGATAGTAATTGTATTGAAATCATGAATGAATTTTAATCTGTGAAAGTATAAAATTAGTTCTATTTATGATAAGAAACAGTTTTTTGATTTAACTGTGTCTTCTCAGCTACATTTTGATAACATTGCCAGATACGTTAGCTGCACTTCCTTTCAATGTCTTTCAATGTATCTTCCTCCCCCCCCCCCAAATTTAAGCAAAACATTTTACTTTTTAATATTTATATACTAAGCTTTCATTTTAAAGGATTATACCAAAATATGCATAGAAATTTAATGTATTTATTTTCTTCTGAAAATAAAAATGATCCATATTTATAGAGTGTGTGCATGCTAAATCACTCTAGTCATGTCCAACTCTTCACGACCCCATGGACCGTAGCCACCAGGCTCCTCTGTCTATGGAATTTTCTAGACAAGAATACTGGAGTGGGTTGCTATGCCCTCCTCCAGGGGATCTCTACAACCCAGGGATTAAATCGAGTCTCTTAATTCTCCTTCATTGGCAGGTGGACTCTTTTATTATTAACGTCACCTGGGAAGCTCATTTATAGAGTGTTAATATGTAAATAAAAATCATCTATAACTCCACTAACCATATACAGCCACATGTTCACTGTAATAAAATATGCATTAATTTCTAACCGAAGATAAATAATAAAAATCAATAATGTTTACCCATTTATGCAAACTGACATCCTTAGAAAGAGGATGTTTACACAAAGAAATAGACAAATGACTGCTAAACCAATTACAATTTATTTTAAACATTGAAAGATAATTTGAAAAATTTTAGATTACATTTTGTTATGTTACTTTATTATGTATAAATTTATTTATCTTCCTTTTCTAGGTTTCATCCAAAGAATATCAAAAGAAGGATTAATTAAAACCAAAAGAAAAAGAAAGAAGCAGCCATTGAAAATAGTATAAGAAGAAATTATTGTGAAAAAGATTTGTTTATTGTAAACAATCTAATCAAATTGCTTATTCTGTGGCTATAACTTGAAACTGTCTACTATGAATTTATTATTCTCTTGATTCCTTTCTAACTATCTGCCATTTAAGTACAATTTATCATACTGCTGGCCCCATTGAGTCAGTCTGTTTTACCATCTGGTGGTTATCTATTTGAGAATATGTTGTCACTTGTTTTTATCACATATACAATTATATTCTTTATAGCCTACATTCAGATTAACAAATATAACTATTAAAGATCAAGTGGTTTGGGGTTTCACATCTAAAATGGTGGCAAGCATCTTTTTCTGATAAGATCACTCAATATTACATTTGGAAAGAGCTGGTAACAACAGAATTCTGTCACATGATTCACTCCCTAGACATACTTCCACTCCTTTTACATTAACCAGCACTTCAAACAATCTTAAGACAAATCGTCTGAACAAAGAAAGTCAACTCTGTGTCATGGGATTCATGGGGTCGCAAAGAGTCGGACACGACTGAGCGAGTGAACTGAAACTGAACTGGCCCATCTTGTCAGTAAAGAGGGTTGAATAGTTGTGTGTTAAATACAGATCATGATAAGAAAAGTTCTGGTGGAAAAGAGAAGTTTTTAATGGCAATCTGAAGGAAATTATTTATTTACTTTCTAATTTTATTGTTTGACAAAATTTTCTCTTCCCCAGAATGGCAAGAATATATAAACCTCCCGAAACATATTCATTTATAATTAGGCTTTGCGCACAATCCAACCAGTAATTCATGATTTTAAAAATGTCATACTATTTCTGTAAAAAAGGAAGACAAAATTATCAGCAAGGGAAAGTCTCCTAGAAAAATGTGTTATTCACTCTCAAGCTTTTAACATTAAACTGAGTTAATTCAGTTTATCCAGATCCATACTTTTCCTTCTCTGCTGAGTCATGTACAGTTTGAGATCTCAAGAGCCTCTAGATACTTTAGATTCTACAGTGTTCACTTCAAATTTCACGTTTAAATTTGACCTTGTCAACTAGAAACAACTAACCACTTTGTCCATTTAGTTTAGCTTAGTGACTTCTCTCTAGTAATACTAAATAAATTCTGTCTGTTCCTCAGGCTTGAAAGTTTGATCCCAATTTTGATTTCTTATTTTCCCTCATATACAACTTATAATCAGTCTCTAAACACTATTGATTGTTTTGTCATAAAGTTCATCTAACTCCGAGGCTTTTTACCTCTACTTCATTCTTCACATCATTACTGATTTAATTCTTAAGAATTAACTCATGTGTTTCTCCACTTCAGAATCCTCCAGTGACTCATTAATTGGTACTTAACTTCACCTTATCCCCTCAATTTAATTTTGATATGTGTAAGTATTTGTACTTACCTATACTACTCTTTCATGACTATTTCAGTTTAGTTAAAATGGTACTCATATATCACTGAAAGTATATCTCATGATGATTTCATATTTTTAAAATGTGATCCCTTCCAGATCATTCATGTGAAATCAGGGGCAAGCTAATGTGAACCATAAAATCACTGTCTTTTGAGGCATAATATGAAAAATCCTAACATACATCCTGGGTCATAAAACTTGTATCATTATAAAATAATGTCAATTTTTACACTTAAGAAAATTTTTATATCTTGTTTTCAAATATTCACATAAGCACATAAATAACTGCCTTAAATTGAGTCTTCTATGGAATTTGAAACTTTGTGAAATCAAAATCTCTTGTGAAATATGTATGTTGTCTTTTATACATGGATAGCAACAGCTTTAAATAAATGGTAAAGTCTTCTTGGTCAAGTGGCAACTTGCCACCAAGGACATATAAACAGCATATTGGTGACTTGACTATTTTCCCCAACAACTATTCATAACTTCATTACTTAGTCAAAAGACATACACTGAGAGATGGTTTGCAATGTTTAATGCATGTGACTATGTTTACTATGTTTTTAAATAAGAGAGTCTCTGGGGGTTTAGTCTTCCCATATTTTGCATAACTGAATGCATCTAACTGTGAATTTTATATAGAATTACATTATAAAACATCTGATGCTTATTTACCAATTTTGTTTATTCTGTTCAAAATCAACAGGCTATGCTGAAAATTGATAAAACTTTTTTTATTTTTTACAGTATAAGAAATAAAATATATTATCCTAAATAATAAACTGTGACTGTTATACTTATGTTAGACTTAAAAAAAATAAAAATTAGTGATTCTCAGTTATTGCAAAGGTAAAGAGTTCTAAGACAAAGGAAAAAAAATCATTCCACAAGCTCCACTCTACTTTTTAATTGGGATTTGTTAATAATCCTTTCAGTTATAAATGGACATTCATGTATTATGGTTTCTTAGCAAAGAAATCATTATATTATTCCTTACAATCTATATATTCTACATTAACTCTATTCCATATGTATTTCTACCAATCATCTAATTGTATAAATATAATACATTCAAATATATATTATATGACAACACATTATATAAATGACTTCCAATCCTGACTAGCCTGTCCAGTTTTCATACCAGAGGAAAGAAAATGACATTAAAGTAACCAACTATTTAAGGGACTTTCTGATTTTTTCACCTTCTTTCTCAAGAACTTGAGCAAAAACACATCTTAATTGATTTCCCTGCAGTCTCCTATGCTTAGGAAACCTTGATTCTTATCAGCCCCTGAACCTTACCAATCTCTGAACTACTCTAATCACATAGCTGAAGTCTTGGCTAGAACACCACTTTTAAAGAAGCAGTATTTATACCATTTTAACAATACATAATAATTCATCTTACCAAAGAAAGAGAAATGTACAGACATTTAATTGTATAATGTAGCAATAAGTTAGGACAATGAATATGGTCTTTTCATCACTTAAAAATGAGAAAAATTCTGACTCACAGTCAGAAACAAAGCATGGATTTTTTTGTCACAAAATTTAAAAAGTCAAAGGTATTTGACTTCAATATTGATGGATTCAGGACCTTATATTGTTATCAAAACTAAGTCTCTCTTCACCTCTAATTCTGTTGAACAACATTTTTTTTTTTTTTTTTTTTTGCTTTTATTTTCTAGACTCAAAGATTTCAAAATGACTTCCAGAATTTAGGTCCCTTTAAGCTCAGAGTAAAGTTTTCTAGAAAAGTTTGAGCTCTCTTACCTCAAAGAACTGAATTAAAATCCTGGCCTCAGGACTGACCAATGAAAGAAAAATTGATAAGCTAGACTTCATTAAAATTAAAAGATTCTGCTCTACAAAAGGCAGTATCAAGAGCTTAGAAGACAAGCTACAGCCTAGGAGAAAACACTTGCAGAAACACATTGGATCAATTCAGTTCAGTTCAGTCACTCAGTCGTGTCCGACTCCTTGCAACCCCATGAATCTCAGCACACCAGGCCTCCCTGTCCATCACCAACACCCGGAGTTTACTCAAACTCATGTCCATCGAGTCGGTGATGCCATCCAACCATCTCATCCTCTGTCGTCCCCTTCTCCTCCTACCCCCAATCTTTCCCAGCATCAGGGTCTTTTCCAATGAGTCAACTCTTCGCATGAGGTGGCCAAAGTACTGGAGTTTCAGCTTCAGCATCAGTCCTTCCAATGAACACCCAGGACTGATTTCCTCTAGGATGGACTGGTTGGATCTCCTTGCAGTCCAAGGGACTCTCAAGAGTCTTCTCCAACACCATAGTTCAAAAGCACCAATTTTTCGGTGCTCAGCTTTCTTCACAGTCCAACTCTCACATCCATACATGACTACTGGAAAAACAATAGCTTTGACTAGATGGATTTTTGTTGACAAAGTAATGTCTCTGCTTTTTAGTATGCTCTCTAGGTTGGGCATAACAGGAGTAAGTATTTTTTAATTTCATGGCTGCAGTCACCATCTGCAGTGATTTTGGAGCCCCCCAAAATAAAGTCTGACACTGTTTCCACTGTCTCCCCATCTATTTCCCATGAGGTGATGGGACCAGATGCCATGATCTTAGTTTTCTGAGTGTTGAGCTTCAAGCCAACTTTTTCACTCTCCTCTTTCACTTTCATCAAGAGGCTTTTTTGTTCCTCTTCACTTTCTGCCATAAGGGTTGTGTCATCTGCATATTTGAGGTTATTGATATTTCTCCCAGCAATCTTGATTTCAGCTTGTGCTTCTTCCAGCCCAGCGTTTCTCATGATGTACTCTGCATATAAGTTAAATAAGCAAAGTAACAACATACAGCCTTGACATACTCCTTTTCCTATTTGGAACCAGTCTGTTGTTCCACGTCCAGTTCTAACTGTTGCTTCCTGACCTGCATATAGGTTTCTCAAGAGGCAGGTCAGGTGGTCTGGTATTCCCATGTCTTTCAGAATTTTCCACAATTTATTGTGATCCACATAGTGAAAGTCTTTGGCATAGTCAATAAAGCAAAAATAGATGTTTTTCTGGAACTCTCTTGCCTTTTGGTGATCCAGCAGATGTTGGCAATTTGATCTCTGGTTTCTCAGCCTTTCCTAATACCAGCTTGAACATCTGGAAGTTCATGGATCACATATTGCTGAAGCCTGGCTTGAAGAACTTTGAGCATTACTTTACTAGCATGTGAGATGAGTGCAATTGTGCGGTAGTTTGAGCATTCTTTGGGATCAGAATGAAAACTGACCTTTTCGAGTCCTGTGGTCACTGCTGAGTTTTCCAAATTTGCTGGCATATTGAGTGTAGCACCTTCAGAGCATCATCTTTTAGGATTTGAAATAGCTCAACAGCAATTCCATCACCTCACTAGCTTTGTTTGTAGTGATGCTTTCTAAGGCCCATTTGACTTCACATTCCAGGATGTCTGGCTCTAGGTGAGTAATCACACCATTGTGATTATCTGGGTCGTGAAGATCTTTTTTTGTACAGTTCTTCTGTGTATTCCTGCCACCTCTTCTTAATATCTTCTGCTTCTGTTAGGTCCATACCATTTCTGTCCTTTATTGAACC